CAGAGCCCTGGCACAGGCTGCCCTGGGAGGTTGTGGAGTCTCCTTCTCTGGAGGTCTTCAAAATCCGCCTGGATGCCACCCTGTGCCACATGCTCTAGGTGTGCCTGCTTGAGCAGGAAGGTTGGACTAGATGATCTCTAGAGGTCCCTTCCAACCTTGAATATTTTGTGATTCTGTGATAGTTGCAAATGGAGAACTAAATCACCCTGGCAAGAAGTTGCATATTAGCCTGTGCCACCATTCCAGTGTTGCTTCATTCTCTACTCTCTGCTCAGCTCTGAAAACTGTATATTGCCTACAACACTTAAGATAAACAGATGAGTATAAGCACATTAGACACCACACTACAGCATATTGAAATATTCTTTGAGCACTGTTTTCTTAGAAATAGCCAAAGAATCAGGTACAACATATTCCCAAGCAAAAATATTCATAGCTTCAACATGAGCTAGAGTTTCTTTACCTTTTTTTTTCACTCTGCTTTCCTCTAAGCACCTAAATTTGATATCCAAGCCTTCCCTAGAAAGAGCTACCCAGAGAATTCCAGGTGCATGTGAGGGGAGGGAGCACTAAGCACTGGAGCTGCGCACTGGATGCTGCTCTACTGAACAGAGCAGCACCCAGCGTCCGTCTCTGGGGAAGGAGACACTGCAACAAACACAAATCCTGGACAGCACTTGCCTCTCGCCTCCTGAGCTCAGAGCCCTGTAACACCACTGACTTGTTCAGAACAGAAAAGGCGACCACTAGACTTAGGCTCAGCTTTCAATCTCACAGAATTTGTGGATACGTCATTTTTTCATTGTGAACACTCAGTTCATACCAGCTGGAAAGCAATTCTGCCAGAGCACCTTACAACAGCTCTCTGAGTGAGAACACTAATTATCTTTTTCAGTATATCTTCATCTGCACATTCGCAGATTGATAACAAAAGCTGATTATTAGTAATTTTAAGCTTCTAACTTCTTATGCCAGTGAAATTTTTAACACACCTAGTTTCAGCTTCCTTATGCCAGGAACACTTGGAAGCCAAATGCTTCACATTACTCACAGAACTAGATCTGAGATACAGTAAGTAGACAGAACCATAACGAAAAAATCCTGAGCTCTCTGACCATATAAAAGGTATATACAATGTGAATGATTCAATTTTTTTTTTTTTTTTTTTTTTTTTTTGCTCTTCCAACTATAAGATTTTAAAACTGGCAAGAAATAATTATTTCTAATATTCTGAAAGAGACTGTTTTCACTCTAATATTTCCTTTCTTTTCTAGTGTCATTAACATGTTGCCCCATGGCTCAGTACCACCAGATTTGCATGGTATCAATACAGCACCTTGTGGTAAGCGAGCAGTTCAACGACTAGCCAGAGCAGGTCTCTCCCCTGCTGTAAACGAGGCCCCAGGGGCTCAGTGTTTCTGGAAGATTAGAAATAAGGGCTACCTTATCTGCGAGGCTCGTGTGTGACCCTCCCGTCACGCTCTGCAAGGAAGGGTTTTTCACTGGAGGGATGGAAGCAGCCAAGGAGATTCCGGCTGCAGAAGCCGCAGAGGATGGTTCAGCGGGAAGCTCCTCTCTCGCTGCCTGGCCCGTGGTCGCACGTGTCTTGTTGAAGGACTGTGACCTCCTGACTGCCGACGAGACAGCAAGAGCAAAGGGGGATGGTCTCGAACTAGAATATGGCTTTGGGACTGCAAAAGTTCTGAGAGTTTTTAAGCTCAACGGTGCTGGTTGACAGGAGGGGAAGCCCAAGGGTTTGCTTTTAACAGGAGAGTTGGAGGATTCAATTATTTTTTCCTCATCATCTTTTTGCTCATCTGCTGATGGAGAGAAACTACTTGCTTTATTCAAAAGAAAAGTACTTTGATCTGGTGAGTATTTTCTTTTTTCCATGTCTGTATTCTTAGTTTCATTTTGAATAGAATTGGGAACAGAAATGGAACTTTTGGCCACTGCAGATGTCACATAATGAGCTGAAGCTCTTCGCTGCATTTGCAGAAAAAAAGAGCTAGGTTTCATTGCAGGACTTAATGCAGTTGCTCTGTCTTGAGTCTCAGAAGAAGCATGTGCATTATCCAAGCTCAGCGTCAGCGGGACCCGCTGCCTGGGGAGCTGCATTCCCGCTGGATTGCTCTCAGCAGCAAGCTCCCCTTGGGAAGCCCCTGCGTGCGCAGAAATGCTGCTCGTCCCCGGCAGGGCATCACTTGCTGCTCTAGGTTCAGTTTGTGAAGCAACCTGCAAACGATCCACACTTTCTTGAGGTCGAGGAACTTCAGTTTGTGTTATGAGTTCTTTGGAGTCTTCAGGCTTCAGAGAGTTTTCCAGAGCAGACACCTGTTCATCCTTATAATCTGATGATATTTCTGATTCTAAGCTCTTCATTACCTCCAAGGATTTTGGAGGCACTATTTTGTAAGTGGTCATTCCGATTTTTGGTATGTAATCTCTTGTAATTTCATTAGAGGGCTTCGGTTTAGGCTTGGTGTCCTGTCTATAAAGAGGGTAACTTTTCAAAGGAGAGTCACCAGGAATTTTCACTGTTGCTTCTGGGGAAACAACATTATCACCATTTATAGAGATGTGACTTTGATCTTTTATGGCATTTCCTTCTCCTTCCCTCTGAAGGTTTAATTCTGTCAAAATTTCTTCATCTTCTTGTCCTCCATGCTTCAGCCGGACAAGGGGGTTGTTTGTACCTGTGTTATGTTGAGGGGCCAGTCCCCTGAGTGACTCACACTCTTGGGGAACAGTAATTTCCTTTACTGCAGTTCTTCCCAAATTGCTCTCTGATGGGCCTGTCTGAATTGCAACATCCTGAGTTTTTACTGTGTCCAGACTGTTTCGATGTGACTTCTGCTCCTGCATTTCTGGAATCACTTGAGGATAATTCCTATGACTTACAGAGACGTCATTTTTACATGCCTGGCAGTTTGATAGTCTGTCAGCTTCAAGCTTGTTATTTTCTCTAAAATCTACTGCTGTAATTTCTATTGCCTGAAGTTCTTTTTCTTCTTCTGTTGTTGCAACAAGTTTTGTACCATTGTCACCTTCAAGTTAAAGAGAGATTCTGAAATTAGTATGAATATTGAAAATATTTAACCTTTCCACTTAAAACACAAAGTCCCAAATCCAGTGTATTCATCTATAAGGTCTGGTTCCTCACTAGCATGTTTTTTTTTCCCACACTTACTTTAAAATCTATTTAAAGACATACTTTGAATAATATTGCCAAAAAATAGCCTTCTTATTCAAGTATTCTGCGTTAATTAACAGGCTCTGGTGTCATGCACCTGTTTAATCAGAAAACCTGTTGCAGAATCATTTTAAAAGTATTAATGAATTTCAGTTTACTGCATTGGCCTCAATGACTCAAGACTTCAAGGACTAATCAGTGCTGAGAAGTCTATTTTACTTAGTTTCACACCACTGTGGCTCTTATTTATATCTTTAATATAAAATATTTTGTCAACTATACTTAGTTTACATGCATAATGGTACAACTATGGACTCAAGTGCTGCATCCAGCTGTAGCTTTCCAAGCCTTCAGCAGGCCTATTTGCTGCCTCGTGAACTAAATGTACGTGGTCCACAAGGTTTCTCCAAAACCCAAATATTTGGATCTCAAACTGCTCAAATTGTAATACTGCAAAAAAGGAGTGCTTCAAAAATAAACATTTGGAGTGGCATTTTACAAAAAATGTCTCTCCTTGTTTTAATTATGTTGTAAAAATGGCAGCCAAAGCTAATTTTAAATGCAAGTAAGACTCATGCAGTATGTTCGTATGATTTACAGATGGAGATACACTGACTGCAAAGGTAGTGACTACGGAAAACTGAATGTTAATCTAAAAGATCAACATTACACAAAAGAGAAAATCCATCAATAAGGTCACTAGATTCATTGAAAAATTTACGAGACACTCGTACCTCTAGGATGCTGTTGTTTCCTTCCAAGTGGCTACGTCATTACTTGTGTTTAAATAGCATGTTTCTCACACAGGAATCTCACAGCGATTTCACCCGAACATCACGAGGCCTCTCCCCAGCATCAGCCCCTGGCAGGAGGATCTCTGCACCCAACCACCCTCCCTGTCCCCAGCACAGCTGCACCCAGACCCGTCCCCTCACTGCCACAGGACACTGCAACGCAGCTTTCACTACAGCTACAGGGGATAAGGGGGGCAGGGGAAGAAGAAAAAGTCAATTTTTGCTCTCCTATCCCACAGGATACATCAGAGTTCAAGAAAATAAAAAGAAAGTAATTGGCTTATCATGCTTCAAGCTCACTGTATTAAACTGTCATTGTTTTCAAAGGAAATGTTTTCTTCAAACTTGTTTGAAAGTATTAAAAATGAATAGGAACTACTCACCATCATTTCTATTTTCATCCAAAATTCTGAGGTTCCCATCTTTTTCAAAGGCAACTTGCTCACTACTTATCTTAGTCTGGAGTCCTCTACAAAGCACAACAGTACATTAAATATGCTGGTATCACTCATTTCAGTAAACACAAGAAAAGATGCAAGAGAACTGGCAATATTCTCCAGACACAGATGGACAAAATAAAACCGTTCTGCCAAACACTGGAATACTCAGAAGATTGTTTTAAGTGACAGGAAATGCTGCTATGATATTTTACATGCCAGATGACATGCAGCCTCACTCTCCTCTGCACAAGAACACGGTCTGTTTTCCTTTCCCTTCCCTCGCTCCTTTTGTTCACCTTTTGTTCAGCGCTTTGAACAACCTCCTTGCCAGCAACAGCCCCGCTGCAGTGAAGCCCCTAGAGCAAGGGCTTAGCATTCAGGTAAGTGCTCTTAGTGCCAAGTCTTCTGACACCTCCAGCATTAAAAAAAGTGTCCTCAATTTTGCCGCATATACAAAACAGAGGAAGTTATTCGAGCCACTCACTGCACATGAAAATGTGCAGCGCAGACTTTTTTAAATAGTGGAATGAAAAAATGTCTAATCATTCAAAGAGAAATCTTGAAAACAACACAGAAATATGGAAAAAAAAATGTTATGGCATGCTAGAGCTTTTGCAAATGCATATTCCTTTTGCCCTCAAATCGTAACCGGGAACTGTACCAGAGCTAGTGGGGGTATTTTTTTGGGGGGGAGGGGGGACTGGGGGACAGGACAGGGGAAGAGAAGACCCAATAAGTACTTGATTTTAAAAGGTACATTAAAAAAGGCTAATATAATATTCAAATATTATAGTGCATTTTTTAAAACAGTTGAACTTCAGACTTAAGCCTCCACTTAAGATGCTTTTCTCTAGTTGCAAACGCTGGCATTATGAATGTTCTCATTTATTTTCCACTTCAAATTTATTAGTTATCAGGAACCAACTGAGCTGAAATATCTGCTTGAAACAATTTAAAATGATAAATTCTTGAATAACATTCTTCTTCATCTGCTTGCACAGTCTAAAGGGTCCAATAAACCATTAAACATGGCATAAGTGCTCACAGTGCTTGCTGAAAAAACTGCTACTGCTCCTATACATCACATATCTGAGAGAATGAACTGCAGATATTCACAAGCCAAAATGTTTTTGAAATAAAGAAACAAAGCCCAAACTTTTTTTTTTTTTATTTTTTTCCTTCCTGCTAAGCACCAGCTCATCTGGGCTGCCTAAAAAGACTCTTGAGATGCCAGTCCCAGCCCTCTAGCACCCTGGAGGTTCCTGGCCAGTGCCAGAGTTTCCCTGGGTACAGTCACATAGGGTAACAGGTCTGTCTGTGTTTGAATTGGGAACAGCTGCCAGTTCACTTGTCCCGGGGAACTCGGAGCTAGGGAATTGAATGAACACAGAGGGGCTTCCCTGGAGACCCAGGGCTCCTTTCAAGACGGCCCTGGCTCCCGCTGGGTCAGCGGCTCCAGCCACGCGCTGAAGGGCCGGCCTGCAGCATCACCCAGAAGGAAAGGAGAGGTTAAGGAAAGCTATGTGCTTATCCCTAAAATGGAAGAATTAACCTGATTTCCAGAGAGCCGATGGATCGAGCAGGTTAAGATAACTAAGATACAGGGAAGAAAAAAAAAAAAAAAAAGATATGAAAGCAGTAGATGATTGTGCCCAGAACTGGGATGGCCTGGCTACCTGATTCCCACTCTCTCCCCCCAAAAAATTGAAGAATGAAAGTTAGAATTCTCATTTAAAAGTCAATCCACCATTTTCCACAGCACATTGTCCTGGTAAATATGCTGGGTATTTTAGGGTTCAGCTTGCAGCAAATCAAATAGCCTGCAGAACACTTCTTGTTCCTTTTTGTTGAAAAGCAGATGGAATTAGTGTGTCCAGAAGAGTGCTGCAATTGAAACCTCTGCTTATGAAGCTCATTCCTCTCTCATAATCCTCTATTCTGTGCTCCACAATGAAGCAGCGCTCTGTGCTTTATTTGCCTCCCCCGCACCCCCCCAGTGCTCCCTTCTCTGTCACAAGGCGTACTTACTTGCCATCTGTGCTAATATTTTCTTGTTTTTCTTCCTTGAGGCTTTGCGCGTTGTCTACAGAAACACTGCCAGGAGCGGGAGCTGAGGAAGCAGCATCATTTTCCTCAGTTTCCAAAGGCAGCTCAGTAGAGCTGAGGGCTGCAGCAGCCTCTGCTGTCCTCGGAGCGGGCGCTGCCCTTTCCGTCCCCTCTCCCGGGCGCACGCTCCTCTCTTCCTTCTGGGCATCGCCCTCCAGGCTGCCGGCTGCGCTCCCTGCGGCTGCGCTCCGGGAGGCCGCCAGAAACACAAGTGCAAACACCAGACACACACAAACAGCGAGTCAGAGGGCAGAGACAAAGAGACCACAAAGTCAGCCTAAACAGTTTAAATAAGGCAAAACGAGAAGAGCTCTCTTCATAGTTCAGGGAAAACAAACTAACAAAACCCACCACTCATTTTGAGTTTTAGCTTTATTTAAAACACTATTTTCTAGTTCATTTCATTTATTCCTTTTTACACAAGAGGACATGCTCATCCCCATGCTACTGTCCCTCTGTAACTAGTAGATATTTTTCCTCTGTTTACCCAAATGTAAATATAAATATATTATAAAATATAAATATAATATAAATATAAATATAAATATAAATATAAAGCATATTTAACAATATCATTATCTCAAATTTCACAGAGATAGACCAATTATTTTTTTTACTCAGAGTTCTTGCTACTTTCCTTAAATCTACAATCAGGTTTAAAATATATAGTTCATTTAGATCAGTATTAATGTTAAAAAAAAAAAAAAAAAAAAAAGTCAGATCTCAGCTCTGCCAGGGTTTTAAATAAGTAAGCTCATCACTGTCAAAATTTTGCCTTAATTATCTTGACTCCACTAAAATATGGTAAGAAGTGTCTTGTGAGCTGCCCTGTGTTACCACAGAAGTGCTCAAAAAAGCCTGGAGGAGCATTAATCCGTGACAATAATAAACTTTTCGGCTCAATCTCAGTTAAGCTAAAAGATTTAGTTACTGGTTTAGGATACGCACAAGTTGGTATACCTAGAGTTAGACTAATCCACCCTCTTATTTGATTTCCAAAGAACTCATTGTCCCTGGCTTCACTTTCCTGCCAGGATTCTTCCTACAACAAGATGTTGATTCACATTTTTCAAATATTAATAAGTAGGCTGTACAATTAACCTCTTGGCTTTGCAACTTGTGTTCTGTAACACAAACCAAATAGCTCCAATTTCATCTCGACAGAGCAACATGGCACCTCCTCAAGCTACCTGCAGCAACGCAGCCCTAGCAGCGGTGCCTGCCGCCCGAGCCAAGCAAGGCAACCCTGGGCACTTTGCTCTCAGGCTTCAGGCAGTTCAGCTGCAGACTCCTGTGGAACAGGTGTACCAGAAAAGTTCTAGGTGTAAACCTACCCTAACTAAAGGCAAAGAACGATAACAAAATACTGAATAAACAGTGCTAGAAAGCAGCAGGTTGCAGAGTATAAGCTTCGTTCAAGAAAAGCCTTAAACTGACTTCTACAAACGGGTACCCTGTGGTGCATCCCAAACATTTTGACAAGTACATAGTGCTACAGAGACATTAATGGAACTGTGTAAGACTTGGAGGAAATCTCTATTCAGAAGAAGAACTTTGCTCTAACAAGGCCATCAGCTAAGCCTTCAGCAAGAGCCGTCCCACATGCACAGGCACCGAGCAGGCAGGAAAGGCAGAATCGTTAGCTGCACATCAGTTTTGCCGTGCTGCCCTGCCGCGCTGCTTTGGAGCTGCCCTTCAAGCAGCGTGCTCAACAGGTGCTGCAGGTGGGAAGCAGGGGTGACTCAGGGCGCAGGGCAAGCGGGGCCGGGGCCGCCTGCGAGGCGGTGCCGGTGCCGCTGGCCCTGCCCCGAGCGCTGCGCGCAGCCGCGACCCGCGCCGCGCTCCTCCCGAGCCCCTTACACACAGGAACTTCCCTCTTGCTTTGTTTTTCCTTTTCAACTCTTTCATCTCCACCTATGGAAAATGCACATATACACTAGTATTTTGGTAAACAATTTTAGTGGGAGCAGTGTGGTTTATATGTACGTAAGTATATATGTCACTAGGCAAAACCAAAACATAACCTGGACAAATATCAGATCTGCTCAGATTGTTCCACAACCACCAGCTTCCAAAACACCATCTCTGGGACAGGTGAGAAGCACTAGCATGCCTGAAAAGTGGACTCACAGAACCCCCATCACAGAGCTCAATGTGCTATGGAAACCGGAATTACACAACCAAACCCTGCCAGTATTTCTGACAAGACCAATGGAAACATTGTGGAGTTGCTGTGGCTTGGTGCCCAGGCGCTGCTGTCATCTCTGCTGCTTCTACTCTGGAGAAGTAACACAAAGGCTGAGTCATATCTCCATGGAGGGGACGGAAACGTAGCCAGCCTGGTGTGGTAGAAGACCTGTCTGACACTGCTGCTAGGCGAGGGCCTCTCCCCCAGCACCTTCCCTGCGATGGGAACCTCATTAAGCCAAACTGCGAACGTACCGTTTCAACCAACAAGCAACGCACACCAGGGACAGACTTGCTTGGGGTTGGTTTCAATTGGTGGCTTTTCATCTGCCACTGGCTTGCCACGCTGCAGCAGGTTAAAGTCTAAATTTGATCCAAAACAAAACAAAACAACAGCAGCTGCAAAAAACAACCATCCCTCATTTACACCATTCAGGTAACTTGCCAGAGGAACTGTGGAAATTTTTTGTGGGTCATTTCCAGACCCAAAATGTATAACTTTCATATGCAAAATATCATTACGAAGTATTTATGGCAACCCTGGCCAGGTACTGTATCCATACTGTTTCCTTGTTCTATATTTGTACTTATACATACATACACGTACCATGCATATGAAGCAAGTGAACAGCCTCAGATAGCAAAGCGTATGAATTGCATTGCTGTCTATGTTTAATGCCTGATCTTCTCAGGGAATAAGCTGTAAATGGTCCCAAGAGAACAGTGCTAAAACCCATAGAACTGTGACAAAATGCCTGCTATACCGCCAGAAGTCTCACTTGAGTCAGTAAGAATACTCTTTCCTCAGCAGATAAGAGGCTCATACTGCTCTACAGCCATTATGTCTGCAAGTACCACAACCAGGCAGACTGACTGACTGCATCATGTAAATCTCGCAGTGCCTTTGCCCTTGACGCCTTCAAAAAGTTCTTAAGAGATACTGTAACTAAGAAGATTATAGCAAGAGATTTATTTAATAGAAAACTATTTAAAAATCAGTAATTCTTTTTTTATATCATTTCACTCTTTCCTTAAGGAAAAAAGAAAAGACTATGCATTAATACAGCTTAGTGAAGGAAAACAAGAATCATAGTTGAGGAAAAAATGTTGTTTACAATTCAAAATGCTCATATTAATTCTCTTAAAACTTTGTTCTTCTAGATGCATACCTTCAAGCCACTTCTGTCACAACACAGTCTGTTTTTCCAGTATGGAAATCTGAAAACATCATTTTACAACAGAAACATACAGTCTGCTGCAATTATACAGCACAATTCCACTTAATGGGCCTGTGTATTAGTGAGGCACTACTCCGGCACTAAATAAAATTTCTTGATCATCTGTAATGGTACATTATAGGGCAGAAGATTATACTATATTTGCAGCTTAATTTTATAATTTAATAACACAGCAATGCATAGAAGAGCTACTGTGTGAACGCCAGTCATGACTGAACAAACCAGGGCTTCCACAAGACTGCTACTCCAAGCAGTGTTAAAATAGAAGGAAATACTAAGTTTCTGTAAAGTTAAAGTTACATCCAAATGAGAGATTAAAGGGATACCAAACTATTATATCTTACATATTTAAAACCATTCTCAATTTGACACATAATTTTTTGAGTAGGGATAGGAGATGAGGAGCACAACTGGACTTGCTGCCCATGAATGCTGTTGCTCTCGGCACGATGGGCTTCCCTGAAAAGACCTTTTACAACAGGCCACAGAACAGCCACCAGAGAGCAGCAGCAACCCACGAGAAGCACAGCAATGCAGCTGTGCTATGGGACCGGGCCTTTACATTACTGTGAATCTTCAGCACAGGATATGGCATGAGGACATCACAAGCAGGACAAGAGAATAAATACCGAGAAAATAAATCCCAGGGCTCAACCGTTGAGTAAAGCTCAGTAAAGATGAGTTAATTGTATCAGAGCATGATAAATTTGCTCATCCTGAGGATAAATAAACTTTTAAACACAGAAAATCAAATACTAATAAACACTAAAAGGTCACGTGTTTTGCTTTTAACTAGCATCACACACAAACATTACATAACATTATAAAGAACAAAACTACAACCAATATTTAGATCTTATTTCAGGTGCATCAGGGTGTTTGCATTACAAGTGAAGATATTTTCATCACTCAGATGCTGGAGAGATTTTTGTTCGTGGCTGGCAAACTCAAGGCTATGATAGACACAGGCTGGAACAGCAGCTTTGACAATATCAAAGGAGTACTTCAGAAATAAGATTTGTTAGCTACAATGATTTGCAGATTAAAGAACATAAGCATTAGAACGACAACAAAAGAGCAGCCAGGAGATTTTCAACACAGATCAGTTATTTTCAAAGGGAATCCAAAGAGTTTGGTAAACTGAGTCTCCATTATCCCTTAATTACTTTCATGGTTTATAACTACAGCTTACAATTTCTTTACAGTCTCTTTCACAGGGAACCTTCAAGACTAATTCAGATTTTGGTACTCATTTTCCAAAGGCCAGAAAGCTTTGGAGTACAGAGGAGAAGCTACAGCCCTCAATGTTTACTGCACTTTTGTCAGAGGCTCCAAACCCAAACAGGAAGCAGAGGCAGAGGATGCACCTTTGAACATGAGTTACTACTTTCTAGCAAGGTAATTTAAATCGCCATTGAAACTCAGTGCACACTAATATGCCACATACTGCGTCTGTGGTCATCTGTTCACACAGTCTAGCATATGTTTTACATGGTTCTAAATACATTTCCATGTTTTGTGTTTTCCAGTCCAACTAGTTTGACTGACATCCCCAATAAACCAGCTGGAAAAGTATTCAAGGGCTCCTGTCAACTAGTGAGAAACTCGAGTGTCCAGCCTCACACAGCGCGTGTGGCGCCCCACGAGCTCGCTGCTAGTGCCTCACCTTGCCCAAACACTTGGGCAAGCGGTTTTTCCAGACTGCACTGACGCTTACTATTCTAAAAGCATCTGCAAATTTTAGAAGACTCTTAGAAGCTGTGACTTGATTCTTGTGTCTGAATCCTACCATAAGGTGCTTACAGACAGGCATATTGAATTTAAAAAAAAAAAAAAAAAAAAGTTATTCAGCAGCTAAGTATCTATATTTTACTCTAAATATCTGTACCTCTGTATATCACAATTTATTATTGTTATATGAAAGTACAACTACCTATGTGTACATTTTATGTTTTCATGTTTTCAAAGGCTGTTCTGGATGGAAGGAAAAGGCAGGCACAGGTTTGCTCCTAGACTCAACTCACATAGGTCAAGGGCACACAAGCAGTTTCTGAAAACAAGATTGGATTTCAGCTTTTGTATGGCTTATTATGGGATATACAAAAATCACTAAATTTTGTGACTAGTTTGTGGTACAAAGGGTAAAACAGGGATAAATGTTTAGTTTGTTAAACTAAACATCTCCTTGAATACAGGATGATAAAATGTCTTTGAGAGCGCTATATTCTGTACTTGAAACCATAAATTAACTGATCTGAGGCCTTGTAATAATCCTGTACTGAAGACACATCTGTAGGATAGAAATTTATTGCTATGAATTATAATAGCTTACTGTAAAATAGATTTGACAAACACATTTGGAAGAAAACTAACCTGTTTCAGTCTGTATTTCAGTGGCATTTTCTTCTATAGCATCCTTAGCAGATGTTAATTCTGTTGTTACTGTAACAAATTAAATAAACCTTTTCAATAAAAGTATTGCCTCAATTTTTGCATTACAAAAACCCTAGACAAAGTGTTGAATTGGGATCTTCAAGAAATATACCTTAAGTGATCAAACACTGTCACATGTCCCAAATAAATAGTTTTAATCTCCACCCTCAGATATTTTTGAACTTAAAGAGAATTGAATTTTTAGATAAAACAGAAGAATTAAGAGCTCTAATACAAATCTTTTTCCCTAAAATTCTTCTTCTCAAACCATTTTATATAAATCTCTCCCTGTTCCAGAATAGCTCATCTTCTCCTCTCCACTCCCAACTTTTCCATTTGATTAATACAGACACAGCTGCTATAAGTATTCTAACTAATTCGAAGTTTGTTTCTTCCTGCTACATGTGCCCTAAAGTAGCCTTGACATACATCATCTGATCAAATAATATTACTGCTTCTTGCAACCTGAAGATGCTTGGCAGTCATGTTTTCTAAGTTTGTATAGGATGGTATTTCTTTAATGTTTAGCCAAATTAGCATACTTTCTCTTGCCTTGTAATTAAGCAGCATAAAAAGATTACCAGGCTCGTTAGTGCTTTCACTTTGATCTTCTGGCGTTTTAGAGGGTGGTGAGGGCGCTTTGCGCTTGATCCTGCGCAAGGAGGAGTTCACAGAAGCCGTGTCACTGAGTGGCAGGGAGCCCTTCCTTACTACTCCTAGGCCTGGAGGGTCCTAAGGCAGCACATCGGGAGAGAGAAGGTTATTAGCAAACAAACAAACAAACAAACAAAGCAAAGCAAAGCACACACAACAGAACAGCTCCAGTAACTGCTCTCCAAAAGAATCTGTAATACACATTTAGAAAAATGAAAATCTATTCCTATTATCAGAAATACTACATTTTGAATCTTAAATTACCAGCTTTCTCAAAGATCTTTTAGAATAACTGAATATAATCACAAAATATAAGATACAGCAGAAAGAGATGCAGAGATAATCAAAAGCATAAAAAGGTTACAGTCTTCCTTACAGGACCTCTGTTCAGGACTTCTTAGTTCATGTGATACAGCAGTCAAATCCATTTTAAATTGCTTGAATTTCAAGAACATGCTCTGTGTCTCCAGAAGACATTGGCTGTGAATTCACCTGCCATGCTCACAGCAGCTTGCCTCCTGATGAAGAAACCTCTTATTTTCATGTCTATTAAATTATTACCTTCACGATCCCAGCACTGGAGAAATATATTTCAGCACTGGGCACAGCTGCCTATTCCTGTAGTAGCTTTGCTCCCTATCACTCCTCTCCCCAGTGATGTAATAAAATCCAGAGCAACATTCATTTCTTGTGAGAAGCATCCACACAGCAACTGGATGTGGGGAATATCCTCCAAGAGCTCCTTTCTCCTCATGCTTTAGTTAACAAGTTTGCTTCACAAAGCGAAATATGGAGGAGCAAGGACAGCAAAAAGACCCTTAGAAATCTTTCTTTCTTTCAAAAACTCCCCATGGACAGAATTTCTGACCTTGTCAATATGCACAGAAGAGCTGCTTTTCATTTATCAAGCTACCACTCAACAACAAATACACATCTTACAGTAGGGGGATATTTGTTTTAAAGGGTAGAGTATTTCATTTTACATAATCAAAATCACAGAAGGAGGAAGGGTACTGGCACAGGCTGGCTGTGGCGCCGCCTGAGCGCTCCTGCTCCGTCCCGGCAGAGCTGTGCACAGCTGAGCCGGAGCCGCGGAGCCACTCACGCCCGGCCCCGGGAGGCTCCGTGCCGCTCCGCTGCGTCCCACGCGGCGCCGCGCCACGCTGGGCCCGGGGTCCCTTCGGCACCTTCCTGCCCCGCGGGGCTTTGCCCAAACACGTGCGCACGATTCCTCTCCCCAGCCCCTCAACGCCAAGGCAAGTAACTGAAACCCTGCAAAACAAGCAGGGCTCTGGCTACCACGGAGAGACTGAGCACCAGGTAGAATATTCTTTCAAGAAAAGTCAAGAATATGAACCGAGAATCCCATTCCTAACTAAAAATACTTGCGAGTTCCGATAGTTCTTAACAAGTCAGGTTCTAGATTAGAACTTCACTCGAGAAAATTACTTCACACTTTTCATAGTTTCTTATTCACAGTTCCTAAGTAGTTCTATTAAAAAAAAAAAAAAAAGAAAAAGAAAAAAGGAGTAAGTACCCGAGTTTCCAAGCACAGGATGTCAAAGATAACATTATTTTCTCCAAATAGGGCTTCTTTTATACTGATAGATGATTTTCGTTCTTGGTAGTGGGCAGTTGCATTTCTCTGCTCCTGGCAGCGGCTGTACAGGCCACAGCCCCTCCATCCTGCACGGAGACACGGCTGCTCCGTGCACAGGGCTGAGCCTCTCCCTGCGCTCCCGGAGAGGCCCCGAGCCCCGCGGGAACTTGCTCAGCTATAGGGATGTCACCCGCGCTCCCGCACGCACAGATAAAACGTTTGCGTTGCGTGGGGGGGTGTTCTCAGCACAAGAGCACAAACGCTACTGCGAGATTTTTATAAGCCTTTCTACTGCCCTTTGCATCCAAAGAAACAAACGATTTGCAAAGAGAGATTTCAAGCAAGTACTAAGTGTTCCAGTTAAGGTTCAAGTGTTGAACAGATTTTCTCAGGAATTATTCAGCATATGAATATTAAGAGCTTTCAAATCTTAACAAAGGTTGTAATAAGAAAATAATGCTTTAAACAGATGGAGGAAAAAAAGCACCTTATTTACATATACGTGACCACGTTTGGGAATCACCTCTGGGTGCTCACGGGTGACAGCAGCCACCAGTGCCCCTAGCGCCCCAGGAGCTGCTCGGTCACTCGCAGCGGCTGAGGGCGCGAGCGGTGCCCACAGGGAAGGGGCAGCTCCGCGAACGCCCCGGCGCAGGCGGCACAGAGCCATGGGGCAGCGGAACCCGCACGATCCTGAGCAGGTGACAACAGGGGCCAGCGCTTCCCAAACTCTCTAAGCAAGGGCAGACATGGAGCCTGACCCCCTTCTCATCTCAAAAAGGTGATTAAAGCCCAGTAACTGCGGCTGGAACAGAAGAGAAAACCATGAGTGTTTGGAAGGCGTCTCATGGAGCATCTCCCTGTGCAGGGCACATGCCTCACACCAAGGGCCCTTGCACGCACATTTCCATACCAAGAGTGCCTCTCTTCATCCACTTGCATTCTGGCTTAGCAGAAGCTACACAAAGGAACAGGCTAACACAGCACATTGCTAAGCATGCTGCTAGTGGGTTTTTTTCTTCCCTTTACACCATACGTGGAAAAAAATATGCAGACAAATGTATGCCGAAGGAGTAACAGAAAAAAAAATAAAAATAAATGTTTAATGAATGAACTATATTTCTATTATGTGGCTTAAGCTTCTTACTCAAACTACCGTGGAGAAAGCACTGTAACCTTTCACCTACTGGAAAGGACGGACATGCAGGACACAGGTGGAGAACCTCTACAGGTCAGCTTCCATTCAAACACAGGGGCCACTGGTATTTTCTTCCATGATTCTGTTCACAAAACGCAAGTACACAAGCAAACACAAAAAGAGTGGGCCAAGCTATGTAACTGGAATACATTAAGAGCAGATGCATGCTACGTCCACAAACCCATTCTGAATCACATTATCATCTTCACGCAAGCTTCAGCAAGAGAAAACAAACAGTTCCAAGCACTGTCTTCTTGCAGATGACCCTGGTTCAGCTCAAGATCTCCCCATCCCGTGACGGGCCTGCTGTGACGTTGCCAACCTCTCTTTACAGATCTAAGCACCAGACCCTTCCTGCAGCTCCGAGGAAACCTCGCGAGTGGGGGCTTCCTCCCTCCCCCAGCCCCACTGAAGCCCGGCCACCGCAGGGGCTCATCAATCTTTTCAGACACTTCATGGCTTAGCAGTGGCTTCCCACCGCTTCCCCAGCTCTCATCTGTTCCTTCCTTTTCTCTTTTTTTATTTTTTTTTTCCTGGGGAACAGACCAGAGATTTCATTTTCTTTAGGAGTTAAGCTTGAGCAAATAGAGGAGAACTACATTGCTCCAGTTGATAAGTTCTATCCATCATTTTAAACAGTAAATGTTTTGGCTAAAAACCTCCATTTAATTGTTTCTACCCAAGCATAACTTGTGTGTGCTCCTTTACAGTAAAACAAGACTGCAAACAGTTCAAGGAAACAGACATTCATTAAAAAAATAAAGATATCACAGTTTAGTCTAGAAAGCAACTGCATTCTAGGAACAATCAAATGCTTGTCATTTAATGATATTACTAGAAATATTAGAAAGTAAGAAATATTCCTAGAAAATTGCATCTACTTTGACAAAGCCTGTGAAGATGCACACACTGTATTATACTGTATTATATGACTGCACTTTTCATAGCCCCTTAAGAGCAAGTCCATTTAAACCTGCCACTTCCAAACAGACTTCTGGCATAAGGCATCTCTCTCAAAATCAGGTCTGACACAAGCAGGGAGGGATTTCAATATTACACTAACATGCTTGTTCCCAAGCTAATTTAACACAGAGATTTGCTGTGCTTAAATTGCACATTTGAGCAGTCGCAGTCATCTTGGCTCATCAAGGATGCACAAATCACGATACATAATAACTTGTAAGAATTAGTCTTTCATCTCTTACATCAATTTCTTACCTAAAAATAACAATATATCATCTTCAAAAACTAATTCTATAATCACTCTGAAATTCATGGAAAAGAATTCAATCCTCATACCAGAATGCAACTGTTCAGATACAAAAAAAAAAAAAAAAAAAAAAAAAAAAAAAAAAGTGTTTCTTTTTAAAGGAAGAGGGGATGCTGCAGGAGGTAAACATTAAAACCGTTTTCATACTGTGAGAAATTGGACTACCATACACTGTGAATTTAAAGAAAAGCAACACTGAGGACACTGTTCCCTGAAAGCTGGCTCATTTCACTGTTGTCTGATGTTACTGGCATGGGCAAATGCCTGTTGCTATCAAAACCAGGAAAGCAGTTTATCAGGGTAGAATGACATTTCACTTTGTCTTCCTTGTGGCTGCTACAAAAAAAGATTTGTCTGTAGTAAGGCACATGCAGAAGGTCACCCTGCTCTATAAAAGAAATTCAGCATGCAGCCAGTTTGCCAAACAAATTGAAGGGCAGGCAGCTTCAGCTTTCTTAAAAGCAGTATGATTTACAAGGAAATGTTTTTGGTAAAATAGAAGCAGATAAGAAGTATCTCTTAAGAAAATATTTATATTCTGGTTTTGTAAGTTAACATGTGGGACATGACAATAAGAATGAAACTACAAAATATGAAAAACAGCCCAGCAACACAGTGATCAGCCCAGTGAGCAATCTAAATCTGAATTTAAATTGTAGAAACGGAAGGCGCAGCTTCAACCGTGGGGAACAGAAGAGGCCAAATTCTTGTCCCATTTACAGCGAAATAATCCAAGCGTAGGGTGACTATGGGACTTGCTGTACTACTGAGAACTGGCTCAGAAGAGAAGAGCATAATTTGGCCACTTAGAGTTGATGAAACAGTGATACATGCAATACCAATGAAGAAATGCTGCACAGCCATCAGAAATGCCATGCTATCATCACAATTAATTGTATTCTTAGATGCTTAGGTCTCATTTCAAAATCTGCACTTAGCGTTTCAATTCTTAGGGTAAAGGATGATTCTTACTGCGTACAGCACCCAAATATCAAGTTGAAAATCCTCTACATGCTCTTTTTCTTTGAGTAATTTTCTTTCTACATTGTCTCTCACCTAACAGCTTAAGATTTTAAAGAAATTCTTTATTTTACAATTAAGTGAGACCAAAACTCTCACTAGTTAGAGGTACCTTTTTGTTCATTTTAGAGTCTCTCTGGTCACTCTTCTGGCATTCCTATTGCTCTTCCCAGTTCGGGGTCTTCTGCACACTTAGAGGCACATTCAGTTCCACAGTCTACACCGTTTATAAAGACATCGAATAGGATCAAGCTCTTTACTAACTCCTTCAGGAACCCCACTCACCAGCCAAGCTCATTGAAGCCATTAGCCACCACCATTTAAGTTCGGCAGTTCAGCCATTCTTCTTTCTATCTTGTGGTCCATTTATCTAGTCCACATCTTCTTAGTGTGTCAAGAAGATGTTGCAGAAGCCTGTGTCAAGCACATCACTACAATCAAGGCAGATGACCTCATCTCCTGTGCAAGTTGTTCCATCACCTAATGCAATCAGATTGGTACATGACTTAATGTACCTGAATTTACACTGGCTTTTCTTAGATACTTCCTTGTCCTTCAGCTCACCTGGAAACAGCTTCCTTGAGGACTTGGTCCACAATTTTCCCAGGGACTGAAGCAAGGCTGACTCTGCTGAACTTTCAAGAGTCTTCCTCTTAGCCCTTTTCTTTGGTAAATGACCATAATGCTTGCCTTTCTGCACCCCTAACTGTATTTGAGAAGACTGACACCAAGAGGATATTGAGGCACCAAGAACGCATCTCAGATGTTCTGCAACTAATTTACCAGTCCCATTCAGCAGCAAATCTGTATCTTCCCCCTCCTTGCGCTTGCTACGACCCAAACAGAAGCCTCTCTTACAATCCGTAGCATCTCTTGCCAATCTGCAGTCCAGCCTTGGTTTTGCTTTCCTAGCAATATCTTCATGTCTCTGAGAAATGCTTCTTTCTTTCTTTTGAGGAATTAGACTGTCTCCCTTTCCCTCTCTCAAATAAGAGGTATAGTTCTCCATTTTGGCTCTTGACCTTTCTCAGGAGCACAGCACTTAACCAGGGTTTTGCTTTTATGCCTGCGCCTTCTCCCACCTCCAAGAGATGGGCTGCTCTTGCGCTTCACCAAGGCTGCCTTTGACAACCTTCCCGCGCTCCCGAGCTCCTTAGCTCTCCAGTGGAGTCTCCAGTAGGACCTCGCCTACCAGTTTCCTGATCAAGTTGAGCAATGTCTATTAATGCAGCCTAAATTCACTCAACAGATGGGATTTGGTGGAAAGTAGATACTATGAGAAAATTATTTTACTTGAATTGATGAAATCCAAAATGTAGAGCAAATATCCACCTATGTTCAAGTGACAAGCTGTGCAGTATCCTACAAATCACTATGCAATTAAACAAGAAATAAACAGAACTCTTCTTAAAAAAAAAACATGCCAAAGGCTTCTAGTTTTGAGAGAGTTGGACAAGGCAGTACGAACTAGAACACACATACACAAAAAGTAACTTAATAAGGATTTCTGTCCTTTCTTCACAAATTAGTCAACTTCAGTCTAAGCACTTTGGATAAATAAATGTCAGTACAAAATAATAAATCTAAGCAATTCTGTTGAGTGACAGATCCTAGCCTGGCAGTCATATATTAATGTCTGACATAATAGAATAATAATAATTTAAATCATGTTGACATTACCTTTTTTAATTGAAATTAAATTAAAAAGCAAACGCAATGAGGTGTAAAAAAAAACTATGTTTTTTTCAAAGTTTTTTTATTAAAATAAAGAAAAAATCTTTTGTCTTTAATGATAAAGCTCTTCAGCAGGACACAATATACAAATTCCAAACTTCTGCTAAACAGTGCTCTCTTGTGGTTCTGTGCATTAGTGAAAGAGTAAATCACTGTACAAAGATAAAGCAAGTCATAGTTTGAATTTTCTTATCTATGGATCTAGCATAAAATCTCCCTCTGATTTATTTTTCATTTTACTCTGCTTTTTATTTTTCTAGCATGCCAATAGCCTCATTTATTAAAAATCACCTTTAGGTTCTGGATTCAAAGTATTACGCTCAAAATACGGCAGATATATAACGGGGCTATTCCTTTAAATCAAGTTTAGAAATAAATGAAACAAATGTAACTAACCTGTTTGTTCCTATCAAAACTGTTAGATTTGACAATGCCAGGTGCTGTTTTGACTTGGGCATGTGCAAGATCCTGGGGGGCACTCTGGGAAGTTGTCATAGGTGGTAAAGGAGCCCTCCGCTTCTTTGGCATTTCAGACGGCAAGGTGCTGGAATCATACTGCTTGCTAACAGTGTTGCACCTGCTGATAAAAGTCGGCCTTGGCTTGCTCATCAGTGGAGTTGCTGGGGCACTGGCAGCCTTGGAGGGGAGGGAAAAAAATCCATAATCTTTATACTATCCATAAAACCATCAGCATATTGACTGGTTTAAGAATATGTTTGCAGAAGTTGGGCTCATATAAAGTTATATCTTACTTGGTCTCGTTTCTTCTTACTTCGTTGGAAAAAACTGAAAAATCCTTTGTTTTCTCTTTCCTTCAAAACATCTAAGTTTTCAGACATTTGGTAGGAGTCTAAAATGAAAAAAAAAAAATAGTTCTAGCTGTTATTAACTGCACAGATAATTTTAACTGCATTCTTATAATTTCACTGTCATCAGCCATCAGAGAATGACAGCCTTCACCTCTGCCATCCAGCCTTCTGGAAAGATACACCAAGCACACCATAAATCATCTATATTAACATTTTGCCAAAAGCTACCCACTGACGAGGTTTCCTAATATCAGTGTTCTTCCCCTCTTCTCAGAGCTCAAGGCAGATGAGCTTCAGCTACGTTTGATACCCTCACCTCTCGACTCAGCCCACCCCACCTGTCATACCTTATGATTCATTTCACAAAGTCTCCAGAAGGGGAGAGGAGGAGCAGCACCCTCTCCACAATCCCTAGCAGCCTAAACTCACAGCAAAGGGTGAAGTGGGACAGGTCAGGCATAAGCCTGCCAATGACACTGACACTAACCTAAAGGAAACTGCATGACAGTCATGATAATGATTACTACGTCCATACTGGGATCTTGCAGAACTTACCCTCTTTACATAGCCCTATCCATGCAGAGGATTTGTAATTTCAAAGGTTGTCCTTCTCTATTTTTTATTGGTTTTAAATTTGGTAAATAAATCACATTTAGTAAAAATGCAAGAATCAACAGCAGCCATCAGGAAGACCACTGTGAGACTCTCAGTGCAAGCATTAGTAGAAATGTAACTGTTTAATAAACTGACCTAAGTCAAAGATGCAGAAATGGGTGGGTACATCCACCCACAGAATGTGGGTACATCCACTTCTGTACTAAATTTTTGTTTATGCATCCTTGATAAGACAGAGAGAATGTTTAATTTACAGGTAGGTGATGATATGAGATTGAATGTTAATGTCACTCATGTGCCACAGTTTCACAACCTACTTCACTAAAGCATACCTTGTAAAGATGGTAAATTTAAATCAGCTGGTGATGTGGCTACAGAAAGACAAAAAGAAAATTTCAGTGTGAATCAGGGATGCAGCTCTAAGTTACACAAACACAGAATACCAAGCTGAGTCTTCAGCATTAGGAAAAATATTTGAGTATCTTCCTGAAGTAAAGTAAGCTGATGCTCATCTTTAAACTCCACTTAAAGTTGTATGCCACTTACTTGAGTTCATAAAATGAGAACTACACACACACAGAGCTTCTTACAACTGTGTAGTTCCTTATGTTCTCTCTTAAGGATTTCTGGCTGTTTCATTCCAACGATGCAGGCCTCAGGTTGGTGGTTTGGCTGGGTGAGTAGGAGGGAACAGCTAAACTTTGTCTAATATATCTATATATATAGATATCTTTCATGTCAGACTTCTCAACTGTAAGTATACATAAACTTGTCCCAGCTTCAATTTTGCGGAAGACTAATGACATTTCTCAAATTGCTGGTAAATTAATTTCTTCTGAAGCAAAAACTCAGAAAGTATAGATATGGAAATACTAAGTAATCATCTTTGCTATTAAAAATTTACAATAATTGTCTTACCTCGACTGATATCCATGGCGTATAATTCTCTCAGTCCAAAGTCATTAAGAGATTTTGTCAGATCCAGGGCTTCTTGAGACTGGTAATTCTTCAACAGTATAGTGTGCGAAGGATCAAACTCACATTTACTGGAGATAATCGGTATGAGTTCCTGAAGGGGTGCATGGGGACTAACTCTTATTACTGTCTTCTGGGTCTTCTTGTAGTTTATGACTACTCTTACTGTTTGCTGAAGAGAAAAGTACTCCGATAAGCCCCCAGCACATACATTCTGAAACAACTGGCACTTTTATAACAAATTTACAGCAATCACAGGAATTTGCCTTAGAGTCAACTTCACCAATGTTTTAGTAAACAAAGTATTAGTTTCATTAGAAGGGAAACTAGGAATTTGTCACTCTCTTCTACTCAAAAAAGTGGCTCAAACTTTATAAAGTGGACACTTTATAAACTGTCACTTCTCTGGCCAGAAGGGTATATGCCTGGATCCAGTGTCACCTCCACTGGTCACATCAGGTCTAAGGATACTAAGGATACCAAGACATGGGATCTTAAACAACATTTGAACATTTCTTTCTGGTAGCAGCGAAGATGTTGGCTGCAATGAACTAGGATATATTTTACCTAAGAGGAGGTTACCAAATAGATGGAGCTCAATTTTTCACAGTGGTGAAAGGCAGACAGACAGCAGGAATAACTTGAAACAGACTTGACTAGCAGCTCACCTTGTTGATTAGGATATTGTTCCTAATTTTTGGATAGGTTATAACTCTAGTTCTCACCTCTGGTATCACTGGAGCAGGTTTCTTTTTATCCATTTGCTTTGGCTTTACAATCACCTTTTCCACTTCAAGCATTCCAATTGGTGTGTTCGGTTTGAATTTAATCTGGCTATTTTCTGCTGACATTAACTCTATAGTATAACTTGATGGATTTAAACGATACTGCGCACAGAGAAAGATCAGTAAGTCCATCATGGGTTTCCTGTAAGAGATAATTTTCTTATGTGACCATGTTGTTCAAGTAGGCTGTAAAGCAAAATTTGTTGCTAAATGTTAACCCAGGACATTCTTTCCTTTGCATGACTGAATAATTACTGTCAGGCACAAACTTTAAAACCAAACTTTAAAATCATTGCAAAGAAAATAAGCCCAGCTTGCACAGCAGTATGCTTAGTGCTTGAGCAAAATGGGAAATTTTTGCTTGCATGAAGTGATGTTTTTCCCAAAGCCAGCAGGGAGGTGTGGATTAGCCACCTAACAATGTTTAATGGGATCCACAGCAGCAATAAATGCCCTGCTATTCAATAAGAACAACTCCTTCCAAGGCTTGAAATTTTGGTATCATTTTGAGGTAGGGATTTCATTTGCAGAAATCCTGTGCATCAGCCTTTCTTGGAGGAAAGAGAAAAGAAGCTCAAGGAAGCCACAGATACTCTTTAAAGTGTCCTAAAAATGAAAGCCATGTTTAATACAGATTAAAAGAAACAGCTAAATCACAATATAGTAGTTGAATGTCATTCCTTGACAAGCTCTGTGTGATGGGATTGGTCTGCTGTTCACAAAAAGAGAAGGCAACCAATTTTTTTTATATGTGGTCACTGACTGTGTGCCTTTTTTTTCCCCTCTAGGTGCTCAATGAGAAACACAACTTGCAGATCAGCTGAACATTTCCTATTGCTAATGTACTGAAATCATTAAAGCTGTACTTTAAACAGCAAGAGTACCATAGCAATGTTAAATGGACTGAAGGGAAGGAAAATACACGAACTCTGCATGTTAGTGCAACTATATTATGAATAAGGTTATCATACTACCATATCACTTCAATTCTTTATTCCTCAATTATTTTTAGAGTTGGGCAGGGAGAGTTTCATTTTAACATTCTCTGCATCTCTCAGTTACAGTTAAAAATAGGGAAAGCTTTCACCTACGCAGTCTCACAAGGATATTATGAAAACAAATTAAAAGTTTGCGAAGCAACCAACTGCTATGTTCAGAACACTAAAGTGTGTAAAAGGAAATTAATATGAGTTTTGGACAGTATGGTGCTATTTTAAATTCTAGATGTAATCTCTTTGCAGATGCTGCTATTGTGGGAGATGCCTTTCATGAAGAGCTAACAGAATCCTAGATAATATCAGTTCCCAAAACTATGATACAGTTTGGCAAAAAGTTAATAATGGCTAAATTCCTTTTTCAATTGTTCTTAAACACAGGTTGCAGATCCCTTGGGCAAACCTTGTTCTAGTTTTCGCAGTCTGGGCTGGAACCTGCCTAGCACATGTTGCACTTCCAGAAGGTGAAAACATGCTGTGGACTGATAGCTCTGCTCACAGAGACAGACCAGCGGGTGTTTCCAGAAGAATGTTCCTACCTGCATGAATGGAGGAAGAGAAGAGTCACAGGAAAAGATGGCAGGAGAGCCAAGAAAGCTAAAAACCTGTCCGGATGGCCCAGAAAGTATGAAAATGCAGCTACCAAACAGTCTGAAGAGGTATGAAAATGCTACCAAACGGTCTGAAGGCAGCAACCAATAACTCTTGCTGCCTTCACACACAGCTGCAGCAGAGCACATGTGCCTGTTCTCCCCTCCCAACACCACAGCCTGCTCTCATGGGAAGGAGCTGCTCTTGTGCCCTTAAACCACAGCACAGGATCTGCACTCCTCTCATCCCAGCAAGGACACAACGGGAGCTGTGAAGGCAGCTCTTCAACATTCCCATGTTTCTCTGAGGCCAAGGCAGAGGAGGTGCCTTGGAGCAAGGACAACCCTTTTGGTGACCTTGCCGGTTATCAGCTCATCCAATAAGTTACCCATTAGCTTTTTCTGGTGCATTTTTGTATGCTGCCTAACTTTAAAGGCTGCCATCCCCCTGGCCTTCGGTTACAGGTGGAGAGCAAGGAAACAGAAGATTACCAGGATAACCGTGTACGAAGAGACTCTAGAAAGCTGTTCCCGAGCGATGGCAACACGAGGCCTTGCCCTGCTGTGGTGCACGGCTCACAAGAGATGAGGGCATGAAAGCCAGGACTGATTCAGTACTGATTTGCTTTCCAGAGGTACTTCCAAAAAGTGACCTGCCTACCTGATCATGCCAGATCACAACAATTTTAAACAGAAACTTTAAAAAATGCTCTTATAAGCAACGATACTTTAAAGAACAAATAAGTAATACTTGAAAGAACTTGAAACAAGCGAAGTGAACAAAGCCACACACACACCACCAAAAACCACTCTAGATCATCGCAATCCCACAGAATAATATTGCACATCTTCCTTCATCTGTTTCCAATAAAATATTTGTTCCAACTTCAGCTTTATTATATTTTCCATTTTTCTTGAAATCCTTGATTGTAAGTTTGTTTCAGCACTGCTGCACCCCTCATTTATTTCCTCTGCTTATTCCTACCCAACCAAATACCAATAAAAAGCAGCTCACAGGTGCCTCCTGTTACCCAACATGATCGCAATTAGATGCTGAGCTCCACACAGGGCGTCTCAACCAGGCTGGGTCTGCAAGCAAGGTAAATTTGAAACCAACGGTGGAGGACCAGGGAGCACAAAAATGCTCCTATGGTTAGAAGCATTTCAAGAGCCATTTTGTTATCCTTTTTATAATACCATTCTGATTAATCAAAGCTTGATCACAAAATGTTTACTATAGCCATCTGATAAAAAATAAAACTGAATACAGCAATGTAGCAGCACCTTACAATAATCTAATTTGAGCAAATTCCTAAATGTATTTTACAATTAGTTACTTCTGACCAAAATCCTTCAAAATGACAAAATGCTAAAGAAGTTACTCTACACTGTCTTCAATGTTGTTAAATCCTTTATTTTTTCTTCTTTGAATAATGTTTGTGATTTTTTACTTATCACATGAAGATGCATATTGAAAAATATTTTTCCATCTGCCAACAGTTTTCCCAAATCTCTGGAAAATGCATCAAGTAAATAAAAAGTTGCATAGTACGCAAGATTTATAAAATGGTATCAAAAAAGATTTCTGCAATGCAAGTCACATTTCCCTTGTCCTTTCCTAACAGCTTAGTACATCCATCCAAACTACTCTGCTAGTCCAACTCTCTTTTCTCTTACCTACATTGAAATATTGAAGAAAAATCCCACGAGCTTAATTGAAAAAAACTGAATCATTTTTATTACAATTTCAGGATTACTCCAAACTATTAACTTTCCATTTGTCATAAAGGTGCTCAATCCCCAAGCAGCTCTGTTGCGGAACTTTTGCTCTGTATGACAGCAAGTAACATTAGAAAACTGTAAAAATTATCTGCAGACAGACTTTGTTTACAAGAAACTACCTGCAGTATTTTGTATTCACAAAAGCATTGCTTCTATCAGTAGTGAGTTGCCAATTTTTGAAGTCCAACGAACTTTTAAAATGTATTGTTTTTCATGAGGAGCTTTGTTAAAAAACACACTGCAATCCAAGCTATGAGTCAAGTTGTCTTCCCCTTTAAGTAAAAGTATCAGGGTGGTAAAAACTGTAATAAACATTTGTTTCATTTCACTTGCTTTCTGGATCCATCTGGATTTAAGGAAAAAAATACATCTTATTTCCAAATTCCTCTCCAATTATGAGAGCTAGATTCTTGCTACTTTAAATAGATAAATAAAAATTAGAGATATTTACATGATCAAAAACCAGGAACAAGGTCTTATTGTCATGAAACGCATGGCAAACACCATTGAACAGATACAATTCTGTTGGCAGCCACAGGAAATGTTCTTAGTAGGGGGTGGAAGAAAATAAGCTAAAACCTACACACATTTCAGCACCTCTGCTTAGATAAGTGATAGCTCCATGGCCTTCCTTACAAAAGTATTCATTAATACTCTCCTCTAAAAAGAAAAGGCATATTGCTTTGATATAAATCAAACAGAAAGAAATAAGAAAAAACCAAAACACTTCTGAATTTGTTAATAACAAATGTAAGTACAACAGCCTTTGAAAAGTAGGGCAACACCACAAAGCTTGTTATTCACTAGCAAGCTATACAGAGTAAATCAACAGTTTATTAAGCATATCCTAGTGACCCAAAGTACTCAAGCACGGATCAAATGGGAATTCACAAAGGGCTCTAGGAGAACAGATTCAGCAAAGCTAAGTTCCCTCTGAAAGGCAGCTGAAGCTCCTCAAGTCCCCAGACTGCTTCCCTGCCCTGCCTCGCCTGACCAAACCAGTGCTCTGCCCAGCTCCGGCCGGGCAGCCAACCTGCCCAATGCCACGTGCCAGCAGCGCAGGAGCTGCCACTGCAGCGCAGCGGCGGCGAACACGCTTGCACGCAACTTCAGGTTTCCTGGTCCTAGTCTAATAATGAGAAGTAAAATACTGTTTTCACCTTGGAAGCTTTAAAACTCTTAATCTCTGGCTGCAAACAAGGAAGACTAGTTAGTAGTTTCTCTGTTTCCATCATTTCTAGAGGGATCTTGACTATTTATTCACAAAAACCCATCAGCAAGAGAGACAACAGCTCAGAGAGGTAGTGTGAGGCCAACCTCGTGGCGAGTTGCAAGGGTGGCCCAGCATCTTCCCTCATCCTGAATGGGGCCAGCAAATCCCACAGAGGCTCTGCTTGGAAGAGAGCGCCTAAAGAAATCAACCACACTATTTCTTCAGTCAAGAGACTCTGTGAAATAAAACTGCCCGGGAAATGTGTGTGCTTCCTGATAAGCCTGCAACCCCCTTCCTGAACACTGCATAGTTATACACCGTGTAATTCAAGGAGTGAAGGTGTACGCCAGGTTCCTCAGCACTGCTGTGTTCAGCACGGCAGGATCCTGGCTCACAACACGCAGAAGGGCTGGGAAGGGAGCGAAAAGGAGATGAGGAAAAGGGCCCTGCAGAGGGTCTCACCAATTCATGAAATTTTAAAACTAGAGCGAGGCACCATATTTACAGAGAGCAACATTCCTTGCTGACAAAACAAAATGCTAGCAAGAACACTGCAGTGCATCTTAGCAGTCACAGATTATTTCAGAAAATGTGTTGCAAGTAAAAAAAAATATATATATATGAAATATAATATATATATCTTCACATTCCAGTTATCTAAAAATAAGATGGACGCCAAAATAAAACCCAAGAGCCACAGAAGTTTATTCAGCACAACTCTGGTGAACAATCTGCTGCTGTTGTCTAAGCAAAGACCTCATGAATTCTAGGGACTGACATTGCATGGAGAGGGACCTGAGCTACAAAACCTGGTTTCTCTCATGAAGGAGGTTCATGTAACTACACAATTACATTACCCAGAGAAGAGAAGGGAAAAAAACCAAAACAAACAAACAAAACAGAGAGACGGGTGATACACAAATACAGATGCAATATATGTCTGGCTTCTTTATTTCAGTTTAGCAGGCCTGGTTTAGGAGCCAGTCTCATAGGAGACCTGCTGTGCTAGTTAATCTAGCACTGCAAGTCCTAGGATTTCCAATTTCAACTCATAAGTCAGTTTTCCAGTTTCTGAGCTAAAGGTGATTTTGGACTCATATGCACAATCCATATTATCAGTTGTAAGGCTGAAATATGCATTTCAAATTTAAACCAGCTTAAATAAAATATATTTGATTCAAACCAAAGTTATTCAAAGCTGTAGCTAGAAACTGCTTCTCTGAACCATTACACTTTTTGTCTCTAGCGATGAATGCATTTTTAGACTCACTAGTATATGTGCTGAGCAAGTACTGAGTCTGTAAATCTTTAGACTATCAACCTGCATCTTTAGGTCTAATAAGGAAAATGGACAAGAAAGTTTGGCAACTCGGTGTCTTTTCTAGAGATTTGGAGTGACCACGAAAGACGGCAGGTATGGTCGCCCACCTCGGCAGGTGCCATGCAGAAGTTCTGAACCTCAAGGAGTCTTTTCAAAAGACAAGTACCTCTGTAAGTACATGGTTCCACAGCCACCCAAAACCACTCAGGCCACCACACCCTATGTATTTTACCAATTGATTTAAGCTCGAGTGAAAGTTGAAGCAGCACTCTATAGTAAGACAGTAAGACTCAACAAAAACATCCTTCTATATAACTTACCTGCCATTGACAGTAGTATATTTGACCACATCTCCAGGCAGGACCACTGATAGTTCAATGTCTTTATCAATTACATTCTCTTTCTGCTCCATGGTGAAGTTGGCTGATTCTGTGTCATCAAAAGGAGAAACATCAACGCTTTTGGTCTCAGATGGAGGAGGAGGTGCTTTAGCTTTTCTTCTGAAATAAATTAACAAACATTTAAAAAGTATTTTTGTGTGTATTTGATTTGATATTGCCAATATTGATATATTGCCAAAATTCTCAACATAGACTTTACAAACTAACAAGACTCAGAAGAGGAATGAACCACACTATTCTTTTTCACTTGTACCTATACAGACAAGTAATGGATGTAAGAATATTTCAAATGTAAAATCAGTTGTAACAACACAGAAGACAAATAAAACACACTAAAATATCAAAGAAGAGAGAAATTGCTTAATTTATGGAGCAAAAAAGTTAAAATGTAAAAGCCCAATAAACACCAAACTCAAAACATATTTTTCATTTGATACTGCAAAGTCAAGTCTGAGCACTCGCCAAACATTTCCTGGCTTAGCATAAACAGAAGCACTGAACAGCACAGTGCAAAGCAAAATTGCACTAACAAATGGTTAATTTATAGTTTAGAAAGACATGGGAAGGGTCACAATTTTCAAATTGTGACTTTCAAATCCTTTTAAAAATCCTACCATCTGTATTTTCCTGTATATTTATAGAATAGCACATTAACCAATCTACTGTGCTGTATTTCTTTGTTGACATTTCAATCACAAGCTTTTATCTTATCCCCTCACCCCTGCTGATTTCCCAGCTATTTTTATTTTCTCACTCTCCTTTCCTTCTCAGCGAAAATGTGATATACTCTTGAATAGAATAGTTAAGTTTTACCTATTTCTCTCTCTTTTTTTTTTCCCTTTGCCAAAATGAAGAACAAACCAACCAACCCTGAACTGTGTAAAAGGAAAACTTCCTTGGGAAACAATTCATGATAGAGTAAATTTTGAGAATAGAACTTGCATTCCCTACAACATACAATTCAGCATCTTCTTTTATTCAAAGCACTTATCAGGAAATTATAATCATTCATTAGGTGCAAGCTTCATGAAAACATTCAGAAACATGAGCCCTGAGGTAAATAAATCAAAAATAGTGCTCTGGGTACTTGAAGAAGTACCTTGATACAAAGCAGGGGGGGGAAAAAAGCATCAAAAATAATATCTGCATTCAGTGGCAAATGCCTAATCATCCTGAAACAATTAAATTTTATTTTTATATTACAATTTTGTACTTAAGGAAAAAAACATGAAAGAGCTCTCATGATCACAAATATATTTTTAAAAAATCCAAGATGGAGGTACCTTATACATTTAGGAAGAACAAAGAATATCACTGATTTCACCATAAAAAAAAAAATGAGCACATATGTTTAATTTCTTATAAGTAATCTTTTAAAAAGTGAGAATTGAACTACATTCACTAAAAAAACAAATATACATATTGAAAAAGCATAATAAACAAAGGCTTCAAACTTTGTTTGAAGCTGACAGTTTAGATCCTGGGGTTGTAGCAAAGTTTATTGTCAGTGCAACCAAACAAATTAACTTCTCCAATTACCCTACAGAATCAAAACAAAGGCTGTAGTATATGGAGAATTAGAAACACACATCTCCCTTTTGAAAACAAAGTTTAAAGTCACTTACAGTGGAGAACAAACAAGGTCCACAGCAGCATTGCAAAAGACGACTGTGTAATGAGATTTCACATGACCCATCTGTTTCTGAAAGTGCTTAAGGAGTTTTGAACTTCAGAACTGCATGCTGAATAATTAACCATTCCCAGCCTCTCAAGAGCAATCGGAGGGCTCACAGCTTTCCGAACACGCACAGCGAAGATTCATCATTAAATTAGATGTCCTCTCTGCTGATGGTTTCAACTAGTTTTTGGTGTGTAGTGCTTCCATGCACACTTTAAGATCTGCACTGTTAGCTCCAAATCTTAATCTGGGTCCCCTAGAACAGCATGCCAGGGTCATTTTGGAGTTTTGTGAATGCTGCAAAATGAAGCAAGCTACTTTTTACTGCCCTCCAACATTTCTTTTCCTGTATGAATTTTAACTGCCAAACAGAAATCACTAGCTCATATAGACCTTATAAAGGAAGGAGAGAAAAGTATGAGAGGTTACTAAGAGCAAAAATAAATAAATAAATATAGCTTTTCCCATTTTACACCCGTCCTGTTGCCAAGCAGATGCACCTCAGATCACTGTTAAACAGTGCTTATCAAACTGCACTCAGCATTTTATCCCTGACGGCCACACACCACAGTAAGATTTGCTCATGAGTACTAGGAGACGGCAGCTTCCTCCCAGCAGACAATGGCAATTTTGTTCCTGGAATTCCAGAGTTAGTAGTTAAACAAAATTAACACCAGTAAAAGCAGGGTTCCTATTAGTAAAATCCAGCCTTATTTACAGAGTGTCCCACTTGCCCTGCAGGGAGCCAGAACTGCTAAAAGGCACTTGTCAGGGACATGTGCACCAGGTAGGATGGCAAAGTTGGGGACAGAGGCACCAATGGCTCACGCGCACATGGGGATCCCTGCCAGGCACTCGGCGGGTGCTGATGAAAAGCAGCGGGCGAGAGGGGCTGGAAACGGGGCTGGAAACGCTCTCATGCCATGAGCTTTAACCTGCAGTCGCTCCCGTTGCGCTGCGGGGCCTCCAGGAAGCTGCGCACAGGGTGTGTCCGGGGCAGACCCACCTCTGGCTGCTCCTGGTACCTCCTGTTTTAGCTTTACTCACCCCAGCCCCAGCATAGACAGCATTATCCAGGTAACTCCATGTCCCTGTCATCATTTCAAGCTCTTCATGAGCAAGAAAACCGACACTAAAGCCCAGTACTCTCTTACCTCCTCATCTTCTACCAGACACTCAGTAAATGGTGTGAGCTACCAGCTTTTTAATTGATTTTTCTTTTTTAAAGACTGGGAGAATGGTCAAGACTGTTTCCTCAATAGAAAGAAGAAAAAAAAAAAAAGCAATAGAATAAATTCCAATCACAGAACAATATTACTTAGAGTTCAGAAAAAGGTGTCCAGCTAATGATCTCATGCACAATGCTGTTCTTTTTCAGACAGTTTCCAGATGTGCTGAGAACGGAGCAGATCTGCTCTAATTTTTGAAGTAAACATTAGAAGGAGGTGGAACAACTAAAAAGCATCTCATCTCCTTGGCTACTCCAGAACTAAAGAACAGTTGTGGGAAGAATCAAAGTACAGCTTATTTAGCTAGGGCATACAGAAAGGCAGTTCAAATGTATTTTTTTTTAAATAAATAAGGCCACAATTTGTAGCAAAAGAAATCCTCTGCAAATTGTGCTGAAGTAGCCTGTTCAACACAAGCCTTCAGTGCTTCCCTGCTTCCACAGGCTCCAGCCCACTCCCGATGACTGACTTCTCTCTGCCCCCGGCACTGAAACACCAGGCTCCAGCCACCCGCAGTGATGCAACCCCTGCTTAGCGTCAGGGCACCAGCTCTCAACTGCAGCTCCCTGTCAGGCTGCAGCAACTTGAATGTCATCTTCTGTTTACTCAACTGCTTGTGACAAAGTGGAAAATATAATATTGCTCTCCTCTGATTGTTATCATAAAGCAGAAAAAAACAATTCCTAGCCCTGAGAAGTTCCTAGCCCCATAAATTCATGATTTTACATGCTCCATATTCCCCTTGTCAGTGGGAATGTCAGTGGTGCATTGAAGCCTTTTGTATGATAAAATAAGATATAGTCATTTGATATTAATTAATAACAATAAAAAAGCTTCAGCACTTCAGCAAATGCATATTACAAAGTTTCAAGTAGGAGATTTTTAACTATCAGTAACTGCATAAAGGAACTTTAAAACAATGAGAAATACTTGAACTTACAACGGCCTAGATACTCCAGTTATCAGCAGCACTTCCTCTCTGTAAGGATCACTTTCCCCCAAGCACTGAAGAGAGAGGAAGTCTATTTGCAAATTAAACCTTCTCTGCTAGATATGTACACAACCAAAGGCCAAAGGCTAAAGCATAAACAAACCACCAAACCACCTCCTAGAGACTTGCTATCAAAGAAAGTCTCAACATTGACAGGACTTAACTTCCAAGCTAGAACACAACTACATGAGATACTCTACAAAACAAAGACACCTTGCACAGGAATTACTCAGGATCACACTTCCAACATCAGAGTCATTGCTCAAATCTTCTGTAAGAAGCACCTGGTAAAGGCAGGAAGGTAACAGTTCTCTCAATTCAGTCATCTCCAGATCCTGAAGAAGTTTATTAAGCCAATAACTTCGTACTGCAGCATAGGTTTACAGAGATTTAAATTTGTTAATTTGACTTCTAGCATAGCTAAGTAGAGGTTTATATGAAGGGCAATTATACATTTATTTCTTCTTTTGTATCAACCTCAATATTTGAAAGCAGCACTTTCTTATTTTCAAAGTCAGAAGGGCATCTCGCTCAGGTTTAGATCACCTCAGTAGAAAAAAAAAATCCCTGCAATGCAGCTCCCTCCAAGGCTTTTCCTGCCCTTGACTTCTTACTCTAAGCAATTACTATGTTTTTTGATTACGACAATGATGCATCTCCACATCAGCAGCAGATGGCCAAAACCTCTCACACATCATCTGCTCAACCAAAGTACATCTGAGTAAGAGTTCATGTCTATTTAAGTATATTTTGTTTGGTTTACAACGTTGTATCAGTTCTACAACAGATATTAAAAAAAAATTTAAACCACTAATTCCTTGTATAACTTTCTCCTTAACAATATTCACCTGAGGAAATTGGTCTCGTACTGTGCAAAGACTATAAAAACACCAACTTCCCCGTTGATTCTTCAGTTCTCTCTCTGGAGGTTATGGCTTCAAGGCAGCACCACAGCACATCGCCAAGATCAAACACTAAGGAAAAAGATTTAGGAGCAGTGCAAGACTGCAGCCTAACTGTGCTTCCCAAACTACGGGAAATGACTGAAGTTAGAGTATAAACACATGCCCTTCCTTCAGGAAAAGTTAGTGCCAACTGGCAGAGCCAACTGTGTCTCTATCTTGAATTGAGTGATAAAGACAAATGAAGAGCTGGATATGGGAATAGGATCCTATAAATCGGGAACACAAACCACAACCACCCATGAGACGATGAGACAAGCAAGGACAAAGCTTGAAATAAACTACGGACTTAAACAAAACAAAAGAAAACAGGAAAAAAAAAAAAAAAAAAAAACCAGAAAGCCCCAGGGCACTGAAAATGTAAAGGAAGAAACAGAAACAGCCTATTCCTTGTCTTTGTACATCTGCTGTAAAGAGGATTTGCTGATCCAACTGAAGATCCCAGACATTTCTTATCACAGTATGGCAGACACCAAAAACCTCACTCACACTTCCAGCTTTAACATCCTTGTTTATACAGCATGAAACACGTCTGCAAACTTCCATCACTAGACTCATCATAAATCTTACCTGCATTTAAGAGCTATGGCTGTACATGTAAATACAATCATACTTTCTTGCTCGCCCCTTCTCAGTCAAGACTCACTCAATTTTAATATGCAATGGAATTAAAAGTTAAATACAGCAAGTAGTCTTCAATGGCTCGTTCAACATTTGCTGGCAGGTCTAGCACTGCTTGTCGAGAGGCTCAGCAAGCAGCCCCCACGGCTGCAGCACCGCGTTTGCCGGCAGGCTGCCTGGGATCGCTCTCAAAACAGCACCTCTCCAAAGAGGAGGTCTGCGCACATGAACTTCCCATTTCCAAAGCTCAAATCTGTTAGACCAGGTGCTAATAGACTACTTGTTAGGAATTAAGGTAGTTCATGTCTGACACAAGCCTGATCATTCATTGCCATGTGAATACCATGTAGCTATTTGAAACCATTAAGGTACTTGTTTCTGAAAAAGCCAGACAGAAGAGGGATAGCTCGTATCATTTACATGGTTGAAGAACACGTCCTAGAACTGTCTAAAAACAGCAGCTAAAGAGACTCACCAGCAAGATGAGGTTTTCACTATGTTTTTCTACACGCACAGTTTTCTTAATCACAAACCTAAAGACAGACAATTTCTGGTACATGATAAAAAAATAAAAAGTTTCTGTACATGATAAAAAAGATACTTCAAAAGTTAAATTTGTTCTGCATGTATGAAGACATTACAGTATATGCATTAGAAAATTTCCAGTTTTATTTTTAAAATAATCAGCAGACCATAATCAGCAGTTGCAAAACCAGAAATGTTTTTTTTCTCCACCTACCCTTTAACTCAATATCTGAGCTTCCTACATATGTCTCTGGCAGATGCTTTGTAAGAACAGACACAGACACAGGACTGTAGACAGTATTCACCTAAGAACCACCCTATGCCATTCCTCAGAGAGTTTTCTTCCACCAAGATTAAAATATTTAATGTTTATTTGAAGACTTTCAAAAAGTCTCTAACTTATCATCAGCTCTGCGTCTGCTTCGCTCATTAGAGCGAAGGAGGCCTCCTGATTTACGATCCATATGGCAAAGATCAGAATTTAGAAATTTCAGAGGTTGAAAATTTGTAAGAGCACTTTTCCTACTGTAAGAGCACCTGCTGCATGTTAAGACCAAGGTGTGGAGCAAGGAGAGACAATCTGTAGGAGGTGATCCCTGCAAGCCACGCGCAGAACGGGTGTGGAGCACAACGTGGGGGTAATATTTGCTGCATCTCCTCCATAGGTAAATGCAAGCACTCAGATTACTAAACACTTATCAGCTTAATTATTCAGGGAAGATTCTGAAATTACAGTGTAGAGATATGGTACCCAGTAGGTGACTCAGCAGCTACCAAAAAAAACAGTACAGAAACATACTTCTAATTCCAATTTCCAAGCGGAGGGACAATCTACAAGTCTCCTCTGGCAATGAGGTATTTGAGTATTTCTCTACAGATTTCCAAGCTGGAGGAAGATCAATATTGCAAATTAATACTGCTATTTAAGTATAATATACTTAAGTATACTTTATATAATTATATTTATTATAATTATACTTTTAAGTATAATATACTTAAGTATACTTTAAGTATAATATAAGTCCAGCTGGAGGCCTGTGGCCAGTGGTGTCCCCCAGGGGTCAGTACTGGGCCCAGTGCTGTTCAACTTGTTTATCAATGACCTGGACGAGGGCACGGAATGCACCCTGAGCAAGTTTGCGGATGACACCAAGCTGGGTGGAGTGGCCGACACTCCGGAGGGCTGTGCTGCCATCCAGAGGGACCTGGACAGGCTGGAGAGTTGGGCAGAGAGGAACCTCATGAGGTTCAATAAGGACAAGTGCAGGGTCCTGCACCTGGGGAGGAATAACCCCAGGCATCAGTACAGATTAGGGGTCGACCTGCTGGAAAGCACCTCCACGGAGAGGGACCTGGGAGTCCTGGTTGACACTAAGTTAACCATGAGTGAGCAGTGTGCCCTCGTGGCCAAGAAGGCCAATGGCATCCTGGCCTGCATCAGGAGGAGCGTTGCCAGCAGGTCAAGGGAGGTGATTCTGCCCCTCTACTCAGCTCTGGTGAGGCCGCACCTGGAGTACTGTGTTCAGTTCTGGGCACCCCAGTATAGGAGGGACGTGGAGCTTCTGGAGAGGGTCCAGAGAAGGGCAACCAGGATGATTAAGGGAATGGAACATCTCTCATATGAAGAGAGGCTGAGCGAGCTGGGCCTGTTTTCTCTGGAGAAGAGACGGCTCAGAGGGGATATGATTAATATGTATAAGTTCAGGAAGGGAGAATGCAGGGAGGAAGGGGACAGGCTGTTCTCACTGGTGGCCAGCGATAGGACGAGGGGTAATGGCCACAAACTGAAGCATAAGAAGTTCCGTCTCCAGGTGAGGAGCAACTTCTTTACTGTTAGGGTGACAGAGCAGTGGAACAGGCTGCCCAGGGAGGTTGTGGAGTCTCCTACTCTGGAGGTCTTCAAAACCCGCCTGGATGCCACCCTGTGCCACATGCTCTAGGTGTGCCTGCTTGAGCAGGAAGGTTGGACTAGATGATCTGTAGAGGTCCCTTCCAACCTTAAATATTCTGAAATATTCTGAAATAATATGTAATAATATAACGGTATTAGAATCAAGGGAATGTAGTAAACGGTTCTCCTGAAACATGTTGGGCAGTTCATATGCCAGAAGTAATGCTGTAAGTGATATAATTAATGAACTGATCTTTGAAGATCATCTCTATAGGTTTACTCAATGAGGATCCAGCAAAAATTGCAGATGTTCTCCCATCCATGCCAATGTGCAGGATGACTGCATCAGTGAAAGGAAAAAATAATAGCTCATAATAACTTTACCACTCTCCTCCTATAACTAAATAAGATCAAAAAAGGGAGGCACCTTGGAATCAAGACATGTTTTCAAAAGTCTTGCTACAGATTTTTTTTTTTCCCCTAATTGATTGAATGTGTGAAAGCCCTCCTAAACTAGTCTCACAGTCTTGAGAAAAGATGAAGAAAAAAAGATTCATCCTAGAGAGAAATAAATCACAAAACTGGTACCGTAACCATGACAGTAAGGTGAAAGCCTTGTGGAATCCCTGGACGTTTGGTTCACACTGAAAGCAAAGTGGCAACAAATGAGCCCCGCGGTTTCCTCCAGCCCCTTGGAACAGACACTTGCCTGTCTGATTGCCTGTCCTCAAGGCAGTGGCAGTCTCGGAAACAGAGGAGACTATACGTAAGCCAAAATCAAGGCTAAGTTTCTCTTCTACTAAAAGGAAAAAGGGGAGATGCAGAGGGGCAATATAACTGCAAATGTATATGGTACAGTCATGCTTTCAATCTCTCAAAGTGCTGCAAGTCCAGTGTAAAACTATTTAGCATAAACCCAGTAAAATTTTAAACCTTTTCTAGAATAATGAAAATCAATCATTGCCCTTAAAAGCCAAATCACCCTCACAAGTTGCAATGACCTTTTCAAGTTCACTTTGAACAGTGGCTATCCAGCTCTTGAGCACAAAGAGCTGCTGACTAGCGGTGCCTCACACTATTCAGCAAGTCAGCTCCCCTCTAAGCACAAGCCTTGCCTTGCTGCTAGGGAATTAGCCAAGAGCTCAGAGTCCCAGCCTGCAACACAGAGGAAAAAAATAAAACAATAAAGAGCTTATACTATGAATTAGCATAAAGTTCATTACTACTATTATTAAAGGATTATAGAAACATGTTCTAATATAAACATTCCATTCTATCACATTCTGCTGTGTCAAAATATGCATTTCTTTTTCTTTTTTTTAAAAGAAAAAAAAAAAAAGAGAGAGAAGAGTGAAGGAAAATTAGTTCCCTCAACCTTACTTCTAGAAGGCTAAAACCAGCAACTTCTAAAGTAAAAAGGGCTAGCACAAAAACTACAGACATGGCATGTCATCTGCAAGATACCTTTGAAATACAGATACTTACATCTCTTAGAAATCCTTCTACAAGGAATTAAAGGCAGAAAATAACCTAATTTACTAACAAGAGAACTTATAAAGAACATGAATGACATTCAAAACTATTAAAACTTTGTATGACTCACTTGGTCTTTCTTGCATCTACAGTCGTGTCAGCAGTCTGACAGAAAGAAGGGAGTAGGGAAGGGAAAAACAGTAAATCTGTAACAGTGATTGAGCAACATATAACTGGCTGAATAAACAGGAAAAGAAAACAAAGAGCAGCTTAAACTGAAAGGGGGAGCTTAACCTTTGATACACTAATAAATTAACAAATGCTTAAAACTCAAGCAAACCTCCACTAGAAACAAACCCTCAAATCTTTTTCTCAAGAACTTCTCTAAGTGTGTGCTCATACCAATGTTTTTCTCCAATGGCCAGCAAGTAAGGGTCAATTAAGGGCTCCCACATGAGCAAAACGTAACTCTGCCCTTCTGGCTACTATCTCCCAGCCACGAAAGCAGCGTTAGCACCGCTGCCTTCTGCGAGCAGCAAATGGAGCACCTAGCTCCAGTCGGGGCTTTCACAGCCACTACGCTGAACACTAAGGCAGCTAAGAACCACCAGCTTATGTTAGCTTTTCTTTGTCAGCTTCTCTCTCATGTTTAAAAGCCTGTTTTAGAAGTAATACTGGAGGCAGGTGCTGGATGGATTTGGATGTTGGGAAAGGCACAGAAAAAAAATCAGAGCCTCTCAGTATTCACAGCCACCAGAAGAGAAAGGAGAGCAGAGACCCTGCCCTTCCCTCACGCACACTCATGAGCGGAGGTGCATGGCAGGCTGGGCAGGGGGGCACTGCACGTAACCGCCATGGGAGAGGAAGCGGGGAGCTCTGCAGCAACAACAGGTAAAAGATCAGTTTTACTGTCTCTAGAAGGAGGGGTGCAGCAGTTTCCCATCTGAAGAGTCAGATACTGGAAGGATAAAGAGCCAAGTACAGCAATATCTCCTCATTTCTATTTTTAAGTGAGCGTTTGGCAAAGAAAGGGCTCTTGCTCTTGCACAATGCTCTGCAAGTCGTCCTCCCGCTCTGTGCTGCTTCCAGTTGTTTCACCTTTTAGCTACGGACGCTCTGGTTAAACTTCAAAACCTTTTTGTACATATGCATGACCAAGAAACAGAGGGGTTGATAAATTGAGGAGGAGACATGGTAACAGGGATGGGAAGGGACTGGGAAGAAAAGGAACACTTTTACTATGAACAGAAAAATTTACAAAGTTATAAAAGTTACATATCTCAAGTAACATAAGAAGAACTGACAGCAGAGGAGAAAACAGACAAACCACTGTGTAGCACACAAGGAAGCCTAATTCAGTATCGGAAAGTGAACAACAGAAAAAAGTTAAGTTTGGTCAACATTTTGTTCCAATGCCAGCTAGTTTCTAGTCTAGCATCTTAGCAGCTTTATTTTTCACCTTAGTTAGTATTCTCAAACCTGAAAGGTTTCTCCTCAGGTCTGATCAACACAGTGTTAACTGCATAAGCAGAAGCCCCAAACACTCAGGGCTAATGTCTTCTGCAAAACTAAGAATGAAGACTTTGAGTCCTGACCTTCCATCAGATCCTGCCATTCATCTTGCACTTCCACGCTCCAACCTCTCCCTGCATCCTCCTCAGGAAGCAAAGCAGCAAACCCTCTCACCTTGGGGAACAAGGTAGTGTTCACCATCCCGTGAAGCATGAGGGGTGCCCAGACAAGGCTGCTTCTATCTCTGGTTGTGGGGGAAGGGAGCACTGGCAGCCGTCACATGCAGCGCAGGCACCAGTGGCGGCCCTCACGCCCTGGCACAGGGCTGCAGAGCCTCCCTCCCCATGGCCCTGCTGGAGCCCCAGGCGCCCAGAGGGTGAGGCCGCGAATGCAGCCGGCACGGGAGCGCGCACGGAGCTCGCACCAGCTGCGGGCCGGGAACGCCCCACACGCATCTCCCCCCGCGGCCTTGCACCGGCAACGGGCCTTTCGCTTTCGAGCGAGCAGGCGGTGCGATGATAGCAAAGCTACCTGGACTGCCCGTAACTTCCACTGGAAAACTTCTCTGCTTCCCAAAAAAGGGACTGGGGCACCAGCCTTAACTGTAATGTACAAAAAACCTTTAGGAAAGGAAGCAAAGAAACATATTTCCTATTAATCTTTTATATGAATTATAATATTCTCATCAGTCTGCTCTGCGAAACATGGGGAAACTTTCCTATGCAACCATGCTGGTGAGTGGCTGGTGTGAACATGCTGGACTGCCCCATTCACCCCCTCTCATCCAAAGCAGGGGATCCCTTTAGCGCACAGGTTTATCTCCCGTATCTTTCACCGCTGCTTAACATTACACTCCAACGCAAGAAGCATACTGACTTTCACAAGTCTAACTGGACAACATTTCTTACATTCTTTGTTGCTGTAAACAAAGTGCCTCTTGAGATATAAAGATATGTATATATGTAAATGTATTTAGAAATTACCACAATGCGGTTTAATGTGTTCCATGATAAAAAAAAAAAAAAAAAGAAGTATTTTATATTATAAAGCAATATATATGCGGCAAGGAGGCTACTATATTAAAAATCTAAAGGTATTGAATTTTATAGATCATTTGATCAAACATATCCTTTTCTTCTTAACGTAAATTTAGATCAAAAACAGATGAATGACAATGAGTTTGAAAAGCCTTTCAGGCCCCATGAGGTACACTTCTTTCTTTAAACTGATCTCACTTGAACTTCTAGGCTACAATCCGTAACTTGAACAACAAGAAGCAGACCAGCCTCTATACTCACCGAGTTCAACACTGAAATTCCAGCAGTCCATCTCCACAGACAAATTTACAGGTCTCTATTCATAGTCACCTTTGTGGCTCAAAGGGAATTAGAAAAACTTTTGTACCTTGACTGAATATTTTGTTTTCTTCGAAAATAAGTCTAGAGACTAAATCTCTTACCTTTTACGGGCCTATGTTTAAGTTCTAGTATATCAGGTACTGTCCTACCGAAAGGGCAAATATTAAAGTGCAGTTGAAGATCTACCACTACAGCTCCCTGCAAAGGAAATTGTGAGGATTCCAACCCAAATAAGCAAGGAAACACCGAGTAATTGCCAAGACATCTATATTCAGTCCTGCAAAATAGTTGTTATTTTACGTCAACTGATGATGCCAGAATTCCCATTTACCTTCAGCAGAACAGCTTTGCGGGTCAACGCATATAGTAAATGAAATGACTACCAGTATGATATTCCCACTGTAACATATGCATTACTTGGAAGCCGTGCTGCTGATCATCTAAGCAAGGAAAGGGAGACTAGAAACAGCTATGACTGATTAAATTATTCTTCAGCTTACCTCCAAGACATGTCAGGTTTCTCTTCTCCATTAAAATCAAGTGAATTTCTTTTGATGGCATGGATAGGTAGAGGGGTTGGAGTGAGCGTATGCATGGCGCGTTCACTGCTGCTTCTTTCCTTCACGGGTGACAACATTAAGCCTGCCTATTTATAATCCCACCACCTGACCAAACAACCTACCCAGTACATCCACAGATTTGTATAGTCACTAATCCTGACATATCTACTTCAGCCAATTCAAAAGAGACTATTAAGGAGCTTTGTTATGTCTTCTATGGCTTTAGACCATAAAAAGAACACAGTCCTGTTTCCCTTGCCCCCTTTAATTTTACAAAACAACTTTAATGGGATGTTTTAGAATTAAGACTCTTCCTTCCTCCATGCTTTTCAGCCTCCCTGATTTCTTTGTCTGGAAAATATCCCACTAGGCAGTTCAGGTAAGGAAATTCTAGTAATCAGCTGGACACTGATTCAAGGCAGCAAAGGCATGCTTATATATTCATTTAATTTGAACATCAGTACTACGTACACAATTATTGATGCTTAAGATTTCAATTAAATGTTTTCAGATGCAAAAGCATTTCTACTATCTGGAGGAAAAACAAAAACTCCCCACAACTTTACAGTGTTTTAAGAAGGACAGCTTACAGAAACTTGAGGTCATTGTCAAGAAAAGGTACCTCAAATGTGAGCTTCAAACGATAGGCTGAAAAAAATGAAATCACTTCTCAGCTCTGTTACCTTTCCTAGTGTTAAACTTACACGGCCACGTGAGCAGCGCTTTCGTGCAAGTCTGCCCAGGCACTGGCATCGACTGTGGTCAGCGAGCACCTTGGGACAAGCACGACCAGCAAGTGCAGCACTGTGGGAGGCTCCCAGCTTTAGAGGATGCAGCTCCTCAGTCTGAACGGGGCACACAGGGTTGTGAAGCGGCTCCGGCCCCGTCTCAGCTGGAGGATAACACCCTGAGCAAGCATGTGCGCAGAGCGTACAACCGCGCTGACAGCTCCTTACCTAACCTGCTGCCTGCAAAATCCCATCACAGGCACCCATCACCATAGGCCAGGCAAAACAGATTAAGCCCATTTCATCTAATACACTTAAGGTTAGCAGAAACTGCTCCCCAGAGTCCCTTGGATTCCTGTTTGGCTCTGCTCCCCTGCACCCAAACTCAAGAGTTAACAGTGCTCAGCCTGAACAAAAAATCCCTTGAAATGTTTCTTGCTTCACAGGCTTGGGATGCTGCTCCATCAGGCAGATGCAGCCAGACCTGCAGTCTGAGAACACCAGTCGAGCAAATGTCAATGCAAAGAGCATACTGGTGTGGTCTGCAGCAAGCCACAATATTCCCTATGGTCCCTGTGTCATGAATTCCGCTTGGAAGCATCCTGTTCCAAAGGTTGTAGCTAGGAATATTCAATCACTGTTAAAATAAAAATGTCCAGTTTTCTTTTTAGTCCAAACCCGTATCTTGTGGCAGTAAGTGGCATTTCTTTCCCTAAAGCTTTTGCAAATAAAGCAGTGAAATTATTACTATTGAAAAATACATATTTTTCCCCCAGGAATAGACAACACAATTTAAGACTAATGAAGGTCATTAGAAGATCAGCATCTCTTATTTATAGTGCTGAGTCAGAAGACTTAGTATAGAAATCCTGCATACCTATATTCTCATTTGTACTTCTAATAATTATCATGCATGTTTCATACAGTTGTGCTTTGGGTTTTTTAAATGCATGTGCTAGTCGATCTTGAAATAAGCAAGTGTCAGATACTTCAGATAATCTGAAAAGAAAGATAAAGGGTTTCCATTTCCAAATTCACACACTTGGCTATTCCAGCACACCTTAAAGAGGTAAGTTTTTCTCCCACTTGTATCACTCAGCACAGGGTTTTTACAAAACACTTTTGAGATGGCAAACTGATATGAAAATACGATTAATATTTTTTCAGAAGCTCCCAGAACATTAGTAAAAGAATTGTAAAAGAAAGAAAATAAATGACACATTTATGAATCTTTCACATATATTCTCCTTTGCTGCTGCTAGACAGTCTCTTTTTTAGGGAAAATGTGCTAATACAGAGGTGCCAAGAGGAGTACTTCAAACAGAATGTATTTCGGGAATGAGATGCATTTCAAAATTCTAATTCTAAAAGATTCATACAAAACTATTATAATCCCTCAATTTGATTTTATTTATTGTCCTTTATAAAGTCTATTCTTTTTCATCTGAGTCTTTTGAAAGTCTTAATATTTTTTTCTTTCTTTTAAAAGAAACAAATGCACAAAAGAAAACGTTTTGTTAAACACAAAATTTTTCTGAAGTCACATTTGTATAGATCACACTTTTATGTGTTCAAGCTTTTTAACGTGCAGAATTGTTTCTGATACCAAAAGGATAAGAAGACTTGCATATCCTAATGAGAATAATGACCGACAGCTTCTCAATATTCATCTTTATAACTAATTTTCAAATTCACTATGATAAGTAAAAATGACAAGCAAAAGTTGAATATTAAGTATTTCTGTATTGGGAGAAAAGACAAGTGAATAACCCCTCCAGAAGCCGAACAGGCTGCCAGAACGCAACTGCTTTAGATTAATCATATGTATATGGAAAAGTTGATCAAAATTATTTTATCTTCTTCCTCCTCCCCCCATCTCCAATAGAGAGATATATGTGTCCATTCGGAAGCTCTTTGAAGCTTGTTACAATTAGAAAAATGTTTGTACAATCTATTGTTACAATTAGAAAAATGCTTGTTTAAAATATCAGATATTTCATCTAACCCTGAAATAGTTATGACTTTTTAAAAATAATATCCATGAGAAACTGGTCTGAAAGGAGTAAGAATAGCAGGAAATCTGGACTACTACAGTAAGAATAGGCATTCTTCCAGAATAAATTCCTGTTTTATTAAATAATTTATTTTTTAAGTTGCTTTGTACCTATTGAAATGTCTGTGATGGATCAACATCGTCAAGTCTCCAGGGAAAGGCAAACACTTTTGTTCCATCCAAAAGAAAAAAAAAAAAAAAAATGGAGAAGAGGGAATAGACAGAAGCATCCAGACGGTTTGGAAGCAGACCAATAACTTGTTTTTCTTAGTCACACATCAACAAGGAAAGTTGATTATAAATTGTACAATGAACATTGAGGCTTAATTATTTTTCTATTATGCAACATTCAGTTTAAGAATTTTACACAGCATCAATGTATTGGACAAGGCCACCACATGTTCTCCTTTCAGTCACTTGGCACAGGGAGAAGCAACAACTTGCAGACCTGTGACACACTTAAGAAGGCAAAAACAGAGGCCAAAGGCCAATGCAACCCAGT